GTTTGTCTCCCAAGGATGCATGTATTATAAACTTGGTTCCCAGGGTAATGAAGTTGGGAGGTAGTGTGGACCTAGAGGGAGGTCTTGGTCAATGAGGACATTCCTTAGAGAGTATTGTGGGACCCCAGTATTACTTTGGCTTCTTGTTTGGCCATGTGATCTCTTTCTCCCATGAGTACTCCACCATTGTAGTGCCATTTGCCATGAGGTGCTCATCTGAGCTGAGAAGATGCTGGTGCCATGCTCTTGAACTTCCAGAATTGAGAGCAGAATAAAAAGTTCTTTTCTTTATAAACTTTCCCAGTTTCAGGTATGTCATTATAGTAATGGCAAACTACCTAATACACTCAGGAGAGTTTACTTGCAACAAACACCATGTGGAACAGAGAGGAGTCATATCTACCTAGCCCTACCTGAGTCACAGGCCCAGAAAAATCATGAGCAACTTGATAGTTGCTTCAACCATTGAGTTTTGGGAAGATTGTTAACAGAAATAGATAATTGCAACATCTATTATAGTACTTACTATTAAGTGCTATAATTACTTGTCTGTTTTACCCATTTAGACTGTAAGAGTCTTATAAATGGAGGGAGAGTATTTCGATCTCATTGGCTACAACACCTGACACACAGATAAGCTTTACAATAATGAATCCATGAAAAACAGGTACTCCCTAGGGAACTCACAGGGAAGTCTTGTCATATTAAGTGTTGTTTAAAGGACATGGGAACCATGAGACAAAAGATGTTAGAAGAATGATTGTAGGATGAGAGTAGAATGCAACTGAAAGGAATGTGGAGCTGCAAAAATTTCTGAATTTTCCCAATAATTTTCCTAATATTGCCCTCTGTTTCAATGACTGTGAAGACTGGGAGCCCCACATACACTAATATTTATAAGGGCTTGTCTGGCAGCTACCACTGTGGCAAGTAAACTATGAGTCATAGTTCTCACTGATTAGAAGAAATTTATACCATAACAGAAGGTTTACTAGGACACTGTAGAACTCAACAGGATATGGAAAGAAATTAACAGAAGTTTAGCTTTCTAGAAGTAGAAAGGATTTCCATAATATGGTTGAGTCCTTTTCCTTCATCCAGTACCCAGACCACCTAGGCCATAGTGCACTCTCTCTTTTGTCTCTCTGTCTCTCTGTCTCTGTCTGTCTGTCTCTGCTGAATTCTGACTGAAATAAGTTTCTCAAGTGTTCTATTTTGCATAATTTTTCCCTTCCTTCCTGGAATGTTTTATGGTTGTTCCCATGCCTGTTACTAACAATTCTTAAATTCACCTCTGGAATTCTTTTTATCTTACTTTCCTCATTTGTCCCCCAGGAATAAACTCCTGATTTTCTCTGTCAATTCCAATGCTTCAGAATTCAGTTTGATTTGTCTGGTTTTAATAAAACAGTCACTGGCCACCCCAATCTGTGGTACCCCAGCAAATGGTGGAAAGGAATCGGGCTTTGAAGCACCATTGGTTTAGGTTCAAATTCTGCCCATGCTACCTGTGATTCTGTACAGAGTCCTTAAAGACTTGTTCCTTCTCTTTTTACAACAGGCATGATGTTGCTACTTCACATTGTTGTTGCGAAGGTACAGAAGACTTGTATATAACACACTCAGCCTGGTACAAGGTAGGACCTTAACATATGTTATTTTTCTTCCTCTCTAAAGTTCTGCATCTATACCACTTATTTGTCCTCAAATCAAGTCCACTTTATTACAGCACTATCCCTGCACTATCATTTAATGTTTTTGTTTTAACATATACTTTCTCCTAACAGCTAAATTGTAAACTTCTTATTTATCTGTATATATCCTAGGATAACAGATTCTTAATAACTACTGGTGAATGAGTAAATGAATTATTAAAAAAGCTTGTAAGACTTATTACCATAAACCAGGTAATGTTACTACATCAAGGTCAGGAACTACAAAACCATTGAATTACCAAAAGCACTTTTCTTTTCCAGGAAAATTATTACAAAAGATGCCACAAATTTTTCTTTATCCTTTAGGATCAATTGAATGAAAAAAATGAAAACCCCTCCTACTAAAAATCTGCCTCCAGAGACACGTAATATTAAGAGCAATGAAGACACAAGGTCTATCCCTGAAGTTTCAGGTTTTCCCAGTAAAAAATGTGGCCAGGTCAGAAATAATTAGTGTGAATCAAAAGGCAATTATGTAGATAATAATTAAAAATTAATTTTATGGAATCAAGTAGGTCAATAGGAAATTATAAGAAATGCTGTGCTTTTGGATTAAGGAAATTAAAGGCCCTTTTGTCTTTTAGGTGGATATGCTCCTGACAAGGAAGCATGAATCCTCTCAGATAATTGTGTTCTATTAAATATGAAAGATAGGATGACATATTAGAAGAAAACCAAGAAATGGACTTAATCAGTGTTGAAAACCCAGTACAAAGCATCCTCAGAGTATGTGGGGTTTAAAGAAAAGACATCTACAATCCCCAAAAACTCCAGAAAGTTACTCTACAAAGTGTCTACAGTGGAAAGGTTCTGGCTCCTTGCCAGCCTTGAGGTTGGAGAAGTGAGCTGGCACGGGAGTCAGTGTCCAAACCAGGCTACACTGGAACAAAGGCATAGAGGATTCCAAAGCAACTACCTCACACTGGTTTTCATCTCATTTGTTGTGCTGGGAAACCTTTTGTTAACAGAATCCTAGAGGGTCTCCCAAAATAAAAAAAGAGATAACTGTGTTTCCGTGTAGCTACAAATAAACACAAAAGACAAGGGAGGGGTCTTCTGAGAAGCAGGTAGAATTTTAGATGCACCATAGAACATTAGACCTGGAAGAGAGTGTTTGGAGACCACTGGTGTCAAACATCTGTAAGCTTTTATGAATTGCTTTTATCAATAGGAAAGGATTTTGGTCAAGGCCTAGTTTATTCCATGGGATAAAACTTATGCCTGAGGATCATGGTAGTAAAGACAACTTCATTCATACCATGAAGGGAGAAAATAGGTTGTTGTTTGCTATATTTCACTATGATCTCAGCAGAACTTATTCATTCTGGAAAATATTTTCTAAGCCATAATTGAGGTTGTCAGTGCAAGCCAATTTCATTTTAGTTACACCTAAATATATCTGAGCCAACAGATTTTAAATGTCCTTTCAAAAAGAACTGTCAGAAAAGATAGCAGCTCTGACATCTTCAGCCGCTTAGCGAAGTCTCAATGTCCAAGGTCTTATAGGTACACTTAGTAACAAACCTTTAGGGTTTTTGGTTCTGTTCTTATATAAGTGTGGCTATAACCATCCATCGAAATTTCTTCTCTCAAACACTAGAAAGGGATGTGAGGGCGATCTGGCTGCTACATCTGTCACCCCATTGATCGTCAAGGTTGATTCGGCTGATCAGGCTGGTTAGGCGGGTGTCTCCTTCCTCCCTCACCGCTCCATGTGCTTCCCTCCCAAAGCTGCGCGCTGGGTCGAAGAGGACGACCATCCCCGATAGAGGAGGACCGTTCTTTGGTCAAGGGTATACGAGTAGCTGTGCTCCCCTGCTAGAACCTCCAAACAAGCTCTCAAACACTAGAAAGTAGTTATAAAATCAAGATAAAGTGAAGAAAAGGATAACGAGTTTTGAAAGTATATATGAGTACCCTGAGAGTAAGAATAATTCAGAAGGTAAACAGGTGAGTAGTCTGAAATATAGGTGTTTCAGGGGTAAGGAACGTCTTGAGTGGTGACCTGAATGGATATTGATGAATTAATTGTGGGTATCATTGTGCTTTCCCTCATGCAAATGGTAGGAGTTGAGCACTTTCTCTGTGTCTTCTTCCAGGTCTCAGATGCTCAGGTGGGAGAAGTCAGGACTAAGGTTTCTTACAGACACTTCCTAATTCAAAGGTTTAGAGAAGACTACATTTGGGGGTGGGAGGGGTCACACTTTTTGACACACAAGCCAGGCTCTGGAGCACCTCCTTCCTCTTCCAACTTTACCCATGAATTTAAGTTACAGAGTAGAAGACCCAGCCCCACCTGTCCTGTGAGCTTAGAGCAGTCTGACCTTTCTTCTGGGTGGATGCTTGCTCTCTGGGAGGTTGCATGGGGTTCCCTGATGGCTTCTCATTTCCCAACAGTAAGGTTGCCTTTCTGGCTACTCAAGTTTGCTCCGGGGGCAGGTTAGCTCACCCCTGCCACTCAGAGCAGAGTGTGAGAAGTGGGACAAACTGCCTTTATACAAGAACCTCTCAGACCAAGGCTTCTTTGAATATTTCTTGAGTTCCTCCTCCTCAGAATAGCCCCTCAAACATTTCTGTGATAGGGGGAAAAACCCATACAAAACCTAAACAGTCTGTTTTAAAGATGCTACTTTGGTTTGTGTGTGCAGCGTGTCACAGTAAGCTGTGTTCTCTGAAGGAATTTTTGGAAAGGAATGTCTGTGATGTTAAATTTCAAAGGACTCTGACCTCGACTCAGGTTGTGATCTATGACAATGCTCCTTTAAACACCAAAAAGAACTCGATTTTCAACCAGAGAGGCATTTCGTGTGTGTGTGTGTGTGTGCGTGCGTGTGTGTCTGCAGTGGGGGAGAGGGGTTGTGGTGGAGAAATGTCATCTACAGCACATAACCTCAGCAAACTCACTCTGTGAATCTAGCAGGTCTCTTGAAGGACTGAAATTTAACTGGAGAGTTTGAACCTTCACAACTCTGCCCCAAAAGCTTTAGAAAAAAACAACAACAAGGAAAGTCTGGTAGGTAAGGTAAGTCTATGTTTTAGAGAATCTAATGCTATGTGAGTCTCTGGGTGTCTTCTCTCATAAACAGACGAAATTCCCTTCTTCATCTATATCTAAACATTTTGGTAGCAAAGCATACCAATACCAAAATATTAGCTGAAGTGAAGAGTCAAAATATATATAAAATACTTCATGAGAGAAACTTTGAGTTAGGACAGCCTCAAACAGCTTTACAAAGAAATGTTGAAATAGTTAGGGTATTTAGAGTAAGGATGGAAGCCTCTTACCTGGGCTTCTTTCACTATTCCATTCTTCTTGTACTTTCCTCTTTGTAAATTGTTGCTCTGTTTCTTGTGGTTGAGAACAGTCCCATTGCAAACAGCACCACCTCCAGGATTAGCCATTTGTGGGAAGTGATGAAGCCTCAGGTTTTCCTTCAGAGGTCTCTGGGAGCTGGGAGCTTTAGTTAACAAGTAGCTGAGGGGATGGGATTAAGCACTTTGGGGCTGAGCCCTTTAAGGAATCCTACCCGTCAGGCTTTTCCAGAAGAAGATCAACAGCCTATCTTTTTACCAGATCTTTAATGGTTACCTTTATACTGCTCAAGTCCAGTCAGAATGTGGATTCCATGGCAACAAACCTGCTTCCAAATCTACAAAGGAAATTTGCCACAAGCTCCTCTTGGAGACTGGAGAAACTTGGGGACAAAAAAAAACTCAGTGTCAAACTGTAAGGAGGCGGACTGGGAGGTGGAGAGTCTTTTAAAGACACACACACACACACACACACACACACACATACACACAGAGATACATATAGACATACATAGAGACATATACAAACATATTGCAAAGCACATTCACAAAGTCTTCTAAGTACTGTGTGACTGGTTCCAAATTTATCCTTTTCTCTCATCCACTCCCTCCTGAGTACAATTACATTTTTTGGTTGTAAATCAAGCTCAAAAGTCTAGATTTCTTTTTTCTATAAAATAACATTCAGAAGTGATTCAATGTATGATATATTTGTTATATTGTAAGAACTTTTGTAAATGCCACAATGTACCCCCAGCAAAACAAAACAAAACAACAAAAAAAGAAGTGATTACCAGGAACTAGAGGGAAGAGGGAATGGTAAATATTGTTTAATGGGTATAGAGTTTCAGTTGAGGTGTAAGAAAAAGTTAAGTGATGGATTATTGCACAGCAATGTGAATGTACTTAACTCATTGAATTATACCCTTAAAAGTGTTTACAATGGTAAATGTTATATGTTGTACAGTTTATCATAACAAAAAAAATGATAAAAGCAACATTCTAAATCCACATAGAAACATATAAACCCACAAACATGTAAAAACATAATATAGTGAGGGGTCTTAACTTATCAAGAATCCAGTAAGATAGAAGTCTGACAGACAGAATATTTGATTTCTTGCCCTCATTATCATTACCACATGACCCTGTAGGAGTCATTTATCCTCATTATGTCTCTGTTTTTCTACCCATAAAATGAGACAAAATATTTTTGGAAACTAGTGTCTGATGAGGTGGTAGGAAATCATACTGTGGCTTGGGTTTGTTACCCACACAGGTGTTAGAAGATAGATGGTTACTGCAGGGTCCTGAAACCCCTCTGGTTTACTCATTAACTCTTGTTGTCTCAAAGTGCCTATCATTAGAGGGCTTCCTATTACTATCAAATAGCACTGTATTGACTGTATTGGAGAGTGTCAATTATTGATAGGCTGTTGAATCTTTCCAAGCCCACGCTTGAAGTTTTCCTTTGCTGGGGCTCAGAAAATCCTACCCCAAAGCAAAGCCCTCAGAAATAAAGTTCCTCTCTTAACTTCTCCTGTTCCATTATCTCCTGTCCCTCTTCTCCACTCAAAGGAAAGCCATAAAAACTTGAATTTCTCTTCCTCAAGATGGGTCATAGAAACTAAAACTCTCTTTCCCCAATGTAAGCCATAAAGCTTAAAAATATACTGCAATATCCCCCCAATTTTTAAATTTCATCTTATAGTAGATTATAAGACCACTTTTAAGAAGGAGTCCTACCCCATACCTGAGAGTCCTACCCCATACCTGGACTAAGATGAATCTGAACAGACAGGTCTTGCTAGATTTTCCCATTCAGTATAAAATGAATAATATAAAAAGTATCAAAATGGATTCTCTGCCTTGGGTCTTTGGATTATCTATCTGAAGTTTCCCGTAGCACATAAAACTATTTCAAATAATTGTGTGTTTTCCTCTATTAATTTTTTGTGTTGTTGTCTTTTAGAGGTATTCATGACTAACAAGTCATGAACCATTATGATAGGCAGGAACCTTTTCTGTGTCTTCAATGAATCAAAACTTTTTTGACATCAAGTGCTTAAAAAAGAAATCCATGTATTGGATAACACACACACACACACACACACACACACACACACACACACACAAGCCCAAATAAAAATGAAAAGAATTTTTGGTGTTGTTACCAGAGCCTAAGCTCTAAGCTCTTTTGGTCTGGGTTTGTTCTCCTAAGTGATGTGACTTTCAGAAGAAGCAATATAGTGTTTTTGTGACCAAGATTTCCATGTGTGGAGTCCCATTTTTTCCCATTCAGAGTGTTGAAGGAATAAGATAAAGGGTCTTGGATCAAGTGGTAAGATAGAGTTAATACTAAGTATGCCAAGCCCAGTTTGTGTTTCTAGCTCAGAATTTTTATTGCATCTTTCCCAACCTCTATCATCAGAGCAGAACGAACTTTTCACATTATTTCTCAGTTCCATGGCTGTTACACTGGGTGTCAGGAGCTAAGGCCTTACTGGCTTATTTCCTTGTAAGAGTAACATAGTGGGAAGATAAAGAAGTAGGACAGAATACTTATGACTGTTGGCTTGAGGGACTGCCTCATGTCACTCAGGTAAGTTTGAGACGTTGTTTCATTTTGACTCTGGCTCTGTTGTCCTGTACAAAGCTATTATTATTAATTATTATTATTATTGGTATTGGGAATGATGAAGAGCCTCGAGCATGCTACTGTACCACTGAGCCACATCCCAGCCCCCAAAGCTATGTTTTTAATAAGGATCTTGAGATTAAATAAACTAAGAACATAAGTTGTTTCTTCTTTTCTTCCTTTTCCTTCCCTTTCCTCTTTCACATTTCTCCTTTTTTCTTTCCTCCAAACTTCCTTCCTCCTTCTCTTTCACTTCTTGTTTTACTTCGTTTTCTTTTTACAAGGGGGACTAAAGCTATGTATAAAGAAACATCTCAATATAGAGCTGAAGTCTGCTTGATATTTCCTCTCCTCATCCCAAGCTAATCACACATAGATCTTCAGGAAGTACCCACTACATGCTCTCACTCTTGAATCTTTTCTATTTTACTTGCCATATTAGAGTTTGTGCATTGTGCGTGCCCCAAGTCATCTTAACCTACCAACCATTTGTATCAGGTACTGCTTGTGGGTATAATCAGTGCTGGCTCATAGCCTTGTATAATCGCTCGCCAAAATAAATGTGGAGTTCCGTTCACGTGAATGGTATCTTTATGTTTAAGGATTGATACAACACTAAAACATAGACTAATATTCAAACAGACTTGGGTCTTTGAATAACTAAATGCATTTCAGATTAACTAGTAAAATCAGCAGATGTTAAATGACTATTCTGTGTTGCATTTGTTTTCTAAGTCCTTGGATACAACAATTAATAAAACATACAGTCTCCACACTCATAAAACTAAGAGCAGCACCTGTATAACTTGTACTTACAATATCTCATTATTAAAGGTGAAACCAAATATTTTCACTAGCTACTAATGGCAAAGATAAAGCTAGTTATCAATAGCCTATGTTTTCTGAAAGGAATATTTTGTCCAGAAACCTGCTCCTCAGCTCTTTTTTGATGGCGAAGACACAAAGAGGGATAAGGAAGAAAAGTATGTTCAGAGGCTTTGTAGTGTATTCTGGAAAAGCTTTTAGAAACCCTTGGAACTAGAAAATTGGTAGAAAGGAAGGAAATGAGCAAAAGGAGTAGTCAAAATTTTATAGTGTATGAAAATCTATTAATTCTTTTTTTAAATTATTCATTAATTTACATGTGCATACATTGTTTGGGTCATTTCTCCCCTGTGCTCCCCTCCCCAACCCTCTTCCTCCTTCCCCCCTCAGTTCCAGGCAGGTTGTGTTCTGCCTTTATCACTAGTTTTGTTGAAGAAAAGAGACAAGCCTAATAAGGAAGACAAAGTGTTTTTGCTAGTTGAGTTGAGGATAGCTATACAGAAATATTCCTAGCATTGCTTTCGTGTACACGTGTTATGACCCATGTTGATTCATCTCCAACTGATCTTTACCCTGGTTTCTGATCCCCTTCTCATGATAACCTCTGTCACTTTAAGGTTTCTGTATTAGCTCCTCTGGAGTGGGGACATCAAACGCTTTCATGTTTTGGGTTTTCTACCTATTTCTATATCACCCAAATGTGCTCTCCCCTTGTCATGTGATCCCAGTCCAACCACATTGCTGCATTTGCTCTAGATCTATTTTTTTTTTTTGGATCTATTAATTCTTAATCACTCAGTCTTTACCTATTTAATAGAGTGCTGTTGATGTGAAAACTATAGTTCCAACTTTTCCAAAGCCACAAGAATAATATGCAATAGATGAAGGTCATGAAACTCGAGAATCTGTGTCCAGAGCTAGAGATACTATGGTATACCATGATACATCTCCTTCAGCTGTTGACTTGAGGACTTTTGACTACCAAGACAAGAAATAGACTGTTATGACTTAAGAGATTTCATTGAATTGACCAAGCAATGCATAAAAATACTTTATTTTGTCCTCCTGGTCTATTAAAATCCCAAAACCAACCAGATAGGTAAAAAAAACATTAATGATGACTCAATTTTTACTGACAAGTCTATCAGGAAGTTAATTATCAGGAACTTAAATTTCCTGAAGAATTCAATCTGGAAAATTTCCCAGAGTTCAGATGATTCAGTTTCAAAAATTTTCTCAATATCATGTTATAAACACAATACCATGAGAATGTCAATTACATTTGAGCAAATGTTAAATCTGAATTGACTATGAAGTCATTGAAATTGAGAACTTAGGAAGTGACCACATCAATTTCTCTGTTATGAGGTGGAAATTATAACTCTTTTTTCTTCTGGAGTTTGAACCCAGGTCCTCATACTGTAGGCAGGTGCTCTACTATTTGACCCATGCCCCTAGACATTTTTTTGTTTAGTCACTTTCAGATAAAGTCTCATGTTTTTGCCTGAGGCTGGCATCAGACCTTGATCCTTCTACCACCTCCCAGATAGCCTGCACTACTGGCATGCATCACCACACCCAGCTTATTTGTTGAAATGGAGGTCTTACTAACTTTTTGCCCAAGCTG